ACGACTATGATGATAAATAAGCAAAGAAAGTTTTTTTTATTATAAAACTAGCGATTTGGCCCGATATCGTAAGGGTAAATAGAATTTTTGTAAATAATTTATAGCCTATGTTGACAATGTAGTTTTTTATAGGTAAAACAATTTTTAAAATCGGTTGAGCAGTTTTTGTGTTTATCAATCATAAATAAATAATCAATATTTCCTTTTTATAATAGTTTATATATATATATATATATATATATATATATATATATATATATATATATATATATATATATATATATATATATAATAATAAGATAGATATATAATTTATTTGCATTACTTACTTACTTTTGCTACAAATAACAACAGACATAGATACATATACATACATACACAGAAAAGAGATGAAAGATAAAAGAATAAATATACAAAAAGAAAAAGGAAAATACATGCCACATTTTGTGCCACAGCAACAAAATTTTTTTTACATCTCATCTTAGCTAAATAAATGTTGGAAAATATATTATATCTGGAAAATATACATAATAAATCTAAAACATCTTTCTTACCTAATAAGATCCATGATAAATATAACTAAATGTTAATAAATGCACTAATAACGCATACAATTATAATAACTACGTATTTACTAACGTACGTACTGATATTTTTGCCTTGAAACTTAAAAAAAAACTATAATTAACTTATATCAAAAAAAAAAGAACGCATCTCTCTTAAATACACATTTCAAAAGGGTTACGACCTTTGCTTCACGTCCAATTATTACTTTAAAAGCACAAACAGATGAGATAACAAGCAGTTTATTGATCCGATCCGGAAACCTATCATTTTCACTATAAAAATTATTATCGATCGAGCGAAAGCAGTGAGTTATTTTAACAAAGAGAAATCCTACATAAGAAATTGGTGTATGTTAATTATTAACAAAACTGAATATAAATTCAGCTGTATTGGAATTAACAATGACCTCTGTTATATTGACGTGTATTATCACACGCGGGTCACTGACCGATCCGTTACATGGAGATTTCACTTTCGATTGGTCGTACGCAGTCGGCTATGCGCATTGATGTCAAACTTACTTACTGGAATGTATATTTATATATGTGATTATATGTATATATGTGAATTTACTGGGTACAGAGTAATAACATCTGAGTCCTCAGGAATGGCAACGCATGGGGGGTATCATGGGCGAAACAGTATACTCTGTTATGTCCATGGTACTGCTCATGTCTATAGGCGACGGTTACCACTTTCCATCAGGTAGGCCGTCAGCTTGTGTGCCATTCTAAGTTGTATAAAAAAAAATATTATGTGTATATCTTTTTATATAAATAGATTATACAGATACAGCGTCGAACCTCAAAAACGGGTCAACTTTTTGTCAGCTAATTGTCAAATTAGCTGACTCGTTTTTTTTTTATCAGTATTCTATATACTTACGCATTAAACGTATCTTCACGTATTATTTAATAAATAAAATGAGTGTTTACGCATTACAAAGATGCAGAATTTTTAAGTTAAATATAAATATAATAGTTATAAAGGAATCACTCATAATTATTTTTCACGCAAAATTGTACGAAAAAGATGACCCGCTTTTCTTGAAGCGTTTGTAGATATATATATATATATATATTGCAGAAGAATATGAATATTAAGGTTATTATATATATAATATTTCACGAAACTACTGACGCTTTCAATTTGCTTCTACATAATATGTATAATTAATTTTCTGTCCGTACTTTCGAAACGCTATGAACTTGAACCGGTGTATGCTATTAACTTAGATACATTATTTATGCGGCTAACATCCGTTTGTTATGTGTAATATTGTGAGGTATCTGGGCAATATGCTTCTACAGTTGTTTTTAAGCGACTTTTAAATTTCTGTTCTCATTTTAAAATTCTATGGTATTTTTTTTATACAACTTAGAATGACAAACAAGCTGACGGCCCACCTGATGGAAAGTGGTAACCGTCGCCTGTAGACATGAGCAGTACCATGGACATAACAGAGTATACTGTTTTGCCCATGATATTCCTCAGTACTTGTTTCGGTGTTATTCCTCTGTACACAGTAAATTTACGCCTTATCCCACTCTTCAAACCGAAACACAGCCATGCAAACACAACTGCTTCACGGTTGAAACACGAATCGGACAGAGGTACACAAGCAATCGACTTTTGTACAAAGTCTCCCTCTGATGTGTAAAGTTTGTGCTTTTTGTGTGTAAAGTTACGCGATGTTTTGATAATTTTGTTTTAATATTTTTTTTTCTTATTTATTTATTTATTATTTTAGCCGTAGCCTGAGGTTATACTCGCATGAATCAGTTTACATAGTATTCAGTATGCTAAATTAAGATATAATCTATCTATGTATCAAATTTCTTCCAAATCCGTTGAGTAGTTTTTGCGTGAAAGAGTAATGAACACCCATCCATCCAACTTTGGCATTTATAATATCAATTATATATGCCAAATTATTTATTTATTATTATTCATAATATCATTTATTATATACCCATCACAAATTTATTACATTTATTTAATTTTTATTTTTTACACAATCGTTTTACAATTGACAAATAGAAACTCTAATAAATAAAATCAAATAACCAGAAGTAATCCTGTAACATTCATAAAAAAAAATACAACCCAGTTGAGTTCCTCTTTTTTTGTAGCCGGCAGGAGATATAATACCTTAGTAATTATCACTTAATTTCAAGTCCCAAAATGCCAAATCCTGACGTAACCCGGCCTGCTGACCCGGCGCGACCGGTCCGTCCGTTAATGCGTTTACGAAACGGTTTCACTTTCAATACATAGAATCGTACATGTTGGACGACATTTTTCTTTTATGTGAAACCGTAAGCTTATTGTAGTTCTTTTTTTAATGAGATAAAAACGGAATAGTATAGAGGCTACGCTATGAGTGTACGCTGGCGTGGTACCAGTGAGTTTTTTTTTTTGATGATAATGGAATGGTAACCTCACCTGCGCTATCGGTATACTCTGGCGGGGCACCAGTGAGGGATGATTGGTGAGGATGTAAAGGCAGGTCAGTTAGTCCATCGTGATGAATTCAACGATAAATTAGTCACGATGGTTTCTAGGGGGAAACGTGTGGAGGAGACCTGATGAGGTATCTTGATAGCGATGTGGACTAACTTCCCTATCACTGACAATCCCTTCCCCCCCAGTGAGTATTTAGGTGAGGACGAAGTCATGTCATTTGACCCATCGTGGTGAATTGCCAGGAATTATTAATATTAGAGACGGGCTTTCTCAGGCAGAAATACCTGTGACACTGCGACCTGTTCATGATCTTTTGTGCTCGCCCCTTTTTTAAAGTTCGCTGCTAATTCCTACCAATGATAGGGATTTTAAGATGTTTTCTATAACGACATTTTTTATCTCCTCTCAATATAGAGTGTATTTTCCAAAGGAGATATATCGTTTATGTTTAAGTGGGCTACAGCGACACATTCAGTGCTGCGGCGTTTCTTCCTCAAGTGACAAAATCTGCAAACACTTTTTGGGCATAAGCCCAGTTAAGCCTGCAAGGACTAAACCACAATAGTTTTCAGAGAAGACCTAATGGGCTATATTGGGGGGAAAAGGATTGTTAGCAATGGAGTTTGACAGCCCCATTGTTAGCAATATGCCCTGCTAAGTCGAACTCCACGTGGTTTCCTCTGGAAACCATCGTGAACAATTCTTGTTGTAATCGTCACGACGGGCTAACTGACCTGACACTGCCGGTGTATATCGATAGCGTAGGTGGGGTTACCATTTCATTATCATCCATAAAAAAATAGGCTATATTGCTACAATGGGGTCTATAGTACCCATTCTTGACTTACCGTCCCCCCTTCTTATAGTTTCAAGACAATTGCGTGAAATGCGATTATTTCACTGATATGTAACTTCCCATAATCCATAGCTTCGCCCTTGTGTCCCATTACAAAGCATCATTATCCTATATGTTAAGTTTTCATAAGCACTATCCATTTATCAGATTTTATTTTTGGATTTAACTGAGTAAGAAATTTGAACTTTACATTTATTAGAAATGAAATGACTATTTATTTGCCAAAACACTTTTAAATCTATGATTTATTATCTTTCTCCTCGACCCAAAGGTTGTTTTGGAAGAGATTGCTTTAATGATAAGACCTCCTTCTTTTAATTTACAATTAATTACTTCTTAATTACAATTTTGTAATAAGGCTTAATTATATTGGCATGTAGTTTATATCAGTTTCTCGTAGTAATCGTAGTTCTGGTATATAATTATTGTATTTTTCTTCTTCTTCTAACTAGAATGACCATTAAATCACTGAATTGAATTTACTGGGTACAGAGGAATAACATCTGAGTCCTTAGGAATGGCAACGCATGGGGGGTATCATGGGCGAAACAGTATACTCTGTTATGTCCATGGTACTGCTCATGTCTATAGGCGACGGTTACCACTTTCCATCAGGTGGGCCGTCAGCTTGTTTGCCATTCTAAGTTGTATAAAAAAAAATAAAAATAAAAATTTATTTTTTTTTTCAAACAGACATGTTAATCTTGATATAAATAATTATAATAATTTCAAAGTGACATATCATAAGAATCTGTGTTAGATAAATAAAATTTGTTTTGACTTTATTTTTAACTTTTTTTTTACATGTTAGTAAATGTCCAAACGTCAAACTTAGAGGTCGAAATCTTTTACATTACATCTCTATCCAATAGGATTCGAATCCACGTTTCTCAGCTATCCGGAACGAGCTATCTCAAACGTCATTACGCCTATTTTAGGCACCATTACGTTACATACCGACAAAAAATGCTTAAAATAAATACTTTTTTTATAAGCAATTTAAGTAAATTAACGCAATAATTACGTTAATGTTTTATTTTATTTTTGGATGTCGACAGATTAGCTTAAGTATTATAATAAAAAGTCTCTAACTCTGTTTGTTTGTCCGCAGGTACGTTGCGATCGATTTACCAACGTATTGTATTAGCCAAACGCACGTGACCACCGGACACTTTTACAAGAGGTAAGATATTTTAGTGTTTAAAGTTTTATAAGTATATATTACATTTTAATGCAAGAATACATTGATTAATTTACCTCGTTCTTAAATTAATTGGTCTTATTAAGGCCCATTTATTTATTTACTCATTAGTACATATATGTGTACATGGCGGACTTAATGCTAAAAGCATTCTCTCCCAGTCAACCATAGGGAAGTGTCAGAATGCTCGAATGCGTAATTTAATAGTTAAGAAGTAACAAACAGATAACTTTATCAGTTTTTTTTGTTTATTTATTTGGTAATGGTGAACAAGGTTACGGTTTCACCTCATGGGAAGTGGTAATTGTCGCCAATAAATTTGAACAACACCATGGATATCGTAGAATAGATCGGTATTCTTCATGCGTTGCCGTGAGACATATTGTGTTATGTTTTCGTATTATAAACTTAATAATATTATAAATGCGAATATTTGTGACGATGTATGGATGATTGTTACTCTTTCACGAAAAAAGTACTGAAAGTATTTGAAGGAACTTTGGTATACGGCTAAGTTTATGTCCTAACTCAGCGTAGAGGATATATTATATATTGATTCAGACGAGTAGAGCCGCGGAATATGGCTAGTTTTTTTATTTTTATTTTATACAACTTAGAATGGCAAACAAGCTGACGGCCCACCTGATGGAAAGTGGTAACCGTCGCCTATAGACATGAGAAGTACCGTGGACATAACAGAGTATACTGTTTCGCCCATGATACCCCCCATGCGTTGCCATTCCTGAGGACTCAGGTGTTATTCCTCTGTACCTAGTAAATTCACGCCATATCTTAGCCTTGAAACCGAAACACAGCCATGCAAACACAACTGCTTCACGGTAGAAACACGAATGGGTCAGAGGTGCCCAGGCAAACGACTTTTGTACAAAGTCTCCCTTTGGTCAAAGCCTTTTTTAGTAACCAGAATATGTCTTTAAATAAGCATTTTTTTCTATGATTCATTTAAAAAAATATTCTTACTCCCATATTTCTTTTTCAATTATCCAACACATGGTAATAACTCAGAATGGAAAAGCTATTTTAAAATTATCATTGTTGTAATAACGTGTAATTTACGACAGCTCGTTAACATTTGGAACACCAAATATTGTTATTATAAAGTGACGTTTGAATGAGCCGCTATTACTTTGTGATTTTGAAACGACCGGTTGTATGGTCCAAGAACGTAAATACAAAGTGATCGTCATCACATTGTGTAATATATTGTAATAAAAAAAATTAAAATAGTAACTAAGTAAGTAGTTGTCAATGTTTATATTTAATTTTATTTATTCTTTATTGCACAATAAAATTTTGTAGTGGCGAGCTTAATGCCATATGGCATTGTCTGTGTCATTGGAATAACACCTGAGTCCTCAGGAATGGCAACGCATAGGGGGTATCATGGGCGAAACAGTATACTCTGTTATGTCCATGGTACTGCTCATGTCTGTAGATGACGGTTACCACTTTCCATCAGGTGGGCCGTTAGCTTGTTTGCCATTCTAGGTCGTATAAAAAAAAAAACCTAATACTGTTTTATTTTCATTCAAATCTGGTTTCGCAAGCGGTCGGTAATACATTTGTTGTCGGCGTTCTCATGATGGCAGTGTTTGATGATCATTTATGTAATGTTTGTATTTATTGCACGGTCAGCCGCTTATCCGGAGACCGATCTATACCACTTGCGACAAGTGATCGGTCGCGAATAGCTTTTAACTTGACACCGGTAAAAGTTATCAGCTGTAAGCGATATAAAGTATTAAGAATTTTATGAGCAATATCAAAAAGAATCGAAAATATTAAAAATTGTTTTTTATATACCTATATATTTCAGTTATTCTAATTTTGAACATTCCAATGGATTATTTAACTAAAAGGCCAATTAAAACAGAATTATCAATTAATATTACGTTTACGATTTTTTATAAATGCGAATTTTACGATTCTTTAAACGAAAAATAATTTATAAAATTTTATAGGTATATAGATTATGTATTATTGACATTCAATGATAATTTAGTATGAAAAATAAAATTTGTTTAGACAAAGTAACCATAAGATTAACACAATTGCAATTTTTTTTTCATAAGTAAAATATAGTCTCTCTAATTATAGAAATTTTGCGTAAAATTGCACAACATATAAACAAATCCAATTTTATTTAATTTTTATTATTCTTCCAACTACAAAACTAAAAAATAACATATCTTCCAGAGTATTTGTTAGTATTTGTAATAACTGCTATTTAATAAAAACACATGAAAATCACTAATTTTCATGTGATTACATTAATGTAACTTTCACTTATGGACATGAACAGTACCACGGACATAACAGAGTATACTGTACCTCCCCTAATACCCTTCATGCGTTGCTATTTCTGAGGACTAAGGTGGCCATATCCCAAACTTCAAACCGAAAATATTATTTTTTACATTACATTACTGTTATTTATTTGTAATAATTGACATTTAAAATGAATATGAGTAATCCGCCTGTGACTTGTACCGCACGCGAGTGGGGCGACGCACGCGCATCCTAATCTCTGGCATCGCTCCCGCTAATTGATCGGCCGCACCTGCCCGCCGCCGCCGAGCGGCAGGCCGTCTACCGTCACGATGCGCCACATAACCACTATGTAGTCTCCAGTTATTTCATATTACTCTGCTCTTATTTGACTAGATTACAGATAACTTGCACGGACAGGTGGGGGGGGGGGGGGAAGGGATCGTTAGTAATAGGAAGATTAGTCCCCATTGCTATCAATATACCTCTATCAGGTCGATCTCCACGCGGTTCCCCCTGGAAACCATCGTGACTAATTTATCGTTAAATTCGTCACGATGGGCTAACTGACCTGCTTTATCATTATCACCTGTCATCCTTCATTGGTGCCCTGCAAGCGTATACCGATAGCGCAAGTGGGGTTACCATTTCATTATCATCCATACAACTCTAATTTCACTAGATTACAGATAATTTGCAGGGACAGGGGAAAAGGGATTGTTAGTAATGGAGACTAAGAGCCCTATTGCTAGCAATGTATCCAACCAGGTCGACCTCCCCCTGGAATATGTAATAGCGTGCTGAATTCCAAGTGTATTCATCACGATGGGCTAACTAACCTGTTTTTTTCATTCTAATCCATCATCCTTTGTGCTTAACTGAATTAGTAAGTAGTATTGTTTAGTTCAGATTTTGTGAAAATGACATGTTAAAAAACAAAAATACCAAATTAAAAGTACTCGTAGATTAAAAAAAATCTATCATCCCTCACTGGTACCCCGCCAGCGTATACCGTTAACGTAGGCAGGGCAACCATATCATGTATTAAAAAAAAAACTTGCAGGGGCATATTACACTATGTTTTATAGAAATATCTATATATCATTATCATTATAATTTCAGCCATTATCCGTCCACTGCTGGACATAAGTCTCCCCCATAAACTACCATAAAGAACGGTCCTGAGCCACCTGCATCCACTGACTCCCTGCAATGTATTTCAGGTCGTCACTTCATCTAATGGGAGGTCGTACTTTGTTCTCCATCGGTAATCGGTTCTTCGAGCTATGTGACCAGCCTATTGTTAGTTCAGCTTGCATATCCTTCAGGCTATGTCGGTACTTTTGGTTCTTTTGCAGATATCCTCGTTTCGGATTCTATCACGCAATGAGACTCCGAGCATAGCCTTCTCCATAGCCTGCTAAGTATCTATATATACATAAAATGAAATATCAATTGTAACTAGATTTTGTCTGTACATAGTATGTATTACATAGAGGATACATAAGAAAAATTTATATAAAAAGGGCCTGAAAAGATCAATTGAAATTAAAACAATATTTTTTTTTGTCTATTAATATTTCTGCTTGTATGTTCCATTTTCCATATCATTACTGCACTGAATTGACTGCGGTTTTTTTATGTTGTTGATGATGATGATGATAAATCTACTTTCTGTGAATGTAAAATTAGTTTAGATACTTATCTATTGGGCAAGACATATCTAGTTATTGTGCAGTGTGCAGTGTGCTGTGCGCGTGCGCATTGCGACACCCACGCGGCGGTCGGCGATCGGCAACTACCCGCAATTATCGTAATATCGTATTGTATTTTATTGTTTTGGGAAATATTGATATTATTTTTGTTCAATCGATCCGTTATTATGGATCATTTGTAGGCAAATTTTCAAACATTGTTTATTATATTTTATAATAACTGGACATGTGACCACATCGTCCTAAGCGAGCACAGAGATAAAATGATTCACGAATGTGATCAGCCGAGAAGAGAATGGTATTTTTAATGGATGATAATGGAATGGTAACCTCGCCTGCGCTATTGGTATACGCTGGCGGGGCACCAGTGAGAGATGATGGTTGAGGATGAAGGCAGATCAGTTGGTCCATTGCGAAAAATTAAATGGGAAATAACCATAATGGTTTCTAGAAAATACCGCGTGGAGGTCAACCTGGTAGAGTATATTATTAGCAATGGAGTTATTAGAACCCATTAATTACTAACAATTCCTTTCCCCCTATTCTGAATGCTTGCTATCAGAAGGAGACTTTGTACAAAAGTCGATTGCTTGGGTACCTCTGTCCTATTCGTGTTTCAACCGTGAAGCAGTTGTGCTTGCATGGCTGTGTTTCGGTTTGAAGGGTGGGATATAGCGTGAATTTCCTGGGTACAGAGGAATAACATCTGAGTCCTCAGGAATGGCAACGCATGGGGGTATCATGGGCGAAACAGTATACTCTGTTATGTCCATGGTACTGCTCATGTCTATAGGCGACGGTTACCACTTTCCATCAGGTGGGCCGTTATCTTGTTTGCCATTCTAAGTTGTATAAAAAAATTCTACTTTTAAAATACTTGCGTACGAAGTAATGGATAAAAAGCTAGTCTTAAATAGAAATGCATCTAATTATCCTTTTGAATATTTCTAAAAATTTTAATGAACAACAACTACATTA